GGAAATGTCTCAGACAGGTTTACTAAGCACAGATAGTCCTGCACCAAACACTGCTCGACTCTGAACTTCTAGATATCTTTGTATATTTGTATATTAGTATTTGAACATAAAGATGTTGCACACATCTTTTAAAGTAGTTCTACTAAACCTCACTTTGAAAAAAAAGTTTCTTAAAATAAGTATTAAAATAATTTATTTTTGCAAATTGAGCAGTACTGCATTTAATTGGGAACAAAAAACAGGACCTTAATTGGTTTCACTATATATATATATATATATATATATATAATTAATATATACAGATTATTAGTTATTATATTTTATTTATCATATTTATATTTAAATTAAAACTGAATACACAGTATAATAACAGAAGATGTTTCAAGCTATGAATAAATACAATATTAATATATAAAAAATACTAAAACACCACCACAGGTTGAAGTACTAGGATTACTCAAATTAATACTAAAAATAAAAATAAATTTAAGCTAAATAAAAATATTAAAAACAAACAAAAATGACAAAAGAACAAAAAATTACTCAAACTACACTGAAAAAATGCCATAATAGTATATAAATAATATTACAATTATGCAAACATTTCAAACGGCAATATATTATAGTCTCATTATGTTGCATCTGAATAGAGTTCTCATCTTGGCTATACATATACATATTAAGCTTTTTAAAATCAAGTTTGTGTAAAAATGGATTGAAATCCAGTTATTTTGAGTGCACTGCATTGTGGGATACAGTATCTCATGCATACATACATTTCGGCATATGCATAAGTCATCTAGGTATTTCAGACAGTTTGCATATACTGTACTATTCACAATATAATCAAATAGTATGCACTGTAGAGTTGTTTGCTTATTTAATTAATTTATGCATTCATTCATTTTGTCTCTTTGCTAAGCTAAGCATCACTGTTAGTAGCGGATGACTCGATGTTATTGTCAGCTGCGAGCATCTACTGATACGAGGTTAAAATCTCTGCCCTTCAGTCAGAAGATATGAAGATCTCGGGTGTAAATCAAGCGCATCATCCTTCCCAGCGTGCATGTGGAATGACAAGATGTTTCTCAGCCCTCCCTCTGATGTCTTTAAAGAGCAGCGTGTGTCAGGTGTCTGCAGCCGCTCTCTCTGTTGTTTCAGTGCGTCTACAGTCGTTTGAGGAGATCTTCTGCTGCGTGTGAGGGGGTCGCGATAGGTCAAGAGCTCTTTTGCATTTTAATCAACTGCTTGCCAATTAACAGCTCTGTGTAAGTTTGTCTGCGCGGTGTAATTTATTTAGCCCGTGGCTCACTTCTGACAGGAACATTTGTTTACAGAACCTAGTCGCAATGTACAGCTGGAGCGTTCGCTCGCAAACAACCTGCGCTTCTGCTGTACGATCGTGCCGTATTAGAGACCAGTTCACAAACGTTCAAACCTGAAAACAACTTCTGCGTTTGTAAGTTGTAAGCTGTTGTGTTTTGAACACAAATTCCAAATCCATGTTTTTCCATTCCAAACTCCCATCATGTATTCACTAAATATTTGCACACTACCGGTTAAAAGTTTTTTTTAAATGTTTTTAAAAGAAGTCTCTTCTGCTCACCAAGGGTGCATTTATTTGATCAAAAACACAGTAAAAACATTATTACAAGTTAAAATAACTGTTTTCTATGTGAATATCAGTTCAAATGTAATTTATTCCATTATCAATGTTGAAAACAGTTGTGCTGCTTCATATATTTGTGGAAACTGAGATACACTACCATCCAAAAGTTTGGGGTCAGGGTCTTGCTCAAGAAACATTTCTGATTATTATCAATGCTGAAAACAGTTGTGCTGCACAATATTTTTGTGGAAACTGAGATACACTACCATCCAAAAGTTTGGGGTCAGGGTCTTGTTTGAAAGAAATTAATACTTTTATTCAAAAAGGATGCATTAAATTAATCACAAGTGACAGTAAAAACATTTATAATGGTACAAAAGATTTTTATTTCAGATAAATGCTGTTCTTTTGAACTTTCTGTTCATCTGTGAATCCAGCAAATCAGCATATTAGAATGATTTCTGAAGATCATGTGACACTGAAGACTGGAGTAATGATGCTGAAAATACAGCTTTGATCACAGAAATAAATTGCATTTTAAAATATATTCACATAGAAAACAGTTATTCTAAATTGTAATCATTTTTCATAATTTTACTGTATTTTTGAACAAATAAATGCATCCTTGTGAGAATTCAGGCTTCTTTCAAAAACGTTAAAAAAATCTTAAACCCAATTTTTGACCGGTAGCATATTTTTGATTGTCTTCTTTCTTGTAATATTCCTCAAATTTCATCTCCCTTATTTTGACTGCTAATAATATCAATAATCTGAATTCTTGCTGTAGCATGTGTAGCTGTTTGCATGCGTTTTACGCTTGTGATGAAGCAGTATCACAGCGATCTTGGAGCGAGAGAGAACATCAACGCTTCAGGCAAAATCCCAGAACTCTCTGCTCTCTGTCCGCTCCACACTGCTCACATCTGATGTCAAAACATTCGAGAACCAAGACGCTGAAGTGATGCTCCTCTGAAATACGTGCTAACAGTTGGACTAATGAAGAAGTAAACAAACGTTTTTATCGTGAATATTCATAACCCTGATGCAAGATGGGTGACAGTGATGATCATAGCAACGTCTCTCAGCTGTAAACAAGAAGTCATATGAACCATATGTGTGTTTTACACTGTTTCTGACCATGCAAACATGTGGTTTTGTTATCAAGGTGTATGTGTGCATGTACATCCATATGATGTAGGTCTGAAAAATAATGTGTTTCTTGCACATCTCATGTTTCATTACAGTCAGATCTGAATATGTGAAGACTGTGTGGTTTTGCTTGTGCTGGTCTTGATGAATTCGCAACGTGCATGTCACTTAAAGGTATAGTTCACCCAAAAATGAAAATTTGCTAAAAATGTCCTCACCGGAACCAGTTTGGAGAAATGCAGCATTGCATCACTTGCTCAGCAATGGATCTTCTGCAGTGAATGGGTGCCGTCAGAACAAGAGTCCAAACAGCTGATAAAAACATCACAATAATCCAAAAGTGAAGCTGAAACAAATCCATCAAGACGTTTTTAACTCAAATATGAGTCCATAATCCATAATAACGCTTCTTCCAGTGAAAAAGTGCATCTGCTGTTGTCTCTCACATCAAAATCCAGCCACATATTTGTTTAGAGCTGTTTTGGCTTGTAAACGGTGCTTGATCTGTGCAGATTTCTCTCCTGATTCAGACCAGAACACTTTTTCACTGGAGGAAGCGTTATTATGCATAGAGGACTCATGTATTAGCGAGAAAACATTGAAAAATTATGGATTTGTTTCTTACAAACATGCAGCTTTTGTGTTCTCCAGATGTTAACTGCTGGACTGGAGTGGTGTGGACAGGGGCGGACTGGGACAAAAATTCAGCCCTGGCACTGTAGCCACACCGGCCCATATTACCACACCGACACAGCCCCACCCACGGACACGGAATAGAATATATAGCAAAAACTATAAATAGTAGCAGCAGTAAATCCTTTTTGATATACAATTATTTGTGATTTAAAGTATGCGGAAGTGTTGTTAGTATGTGCTGCATGTGCATTTGTGTGTGTGAGTGTGATCTCTCTCTCTCTCTGTGTGTGTTTACCCTAAATCCCACTTTATCTGCTGATGCAATTCAGTAACAGGCTCGTTAACACTTAAGTTAACCAATTATCACGAAGCAATGACATTTTAAAATATACTGGGGTTCTATGCTAAGCTTACAACTGTTTAATACAATGTAGGCTACTGTAATAAAAAAAAAAAAAAACAGGAGCTAACTGGCAGAAGTAGTGTGAAAAGTGCTAGCTGTATTTTGTGTTTTCTGTTGAAAAGAGTTCGGTTAATTTTACGCATTTAGCAGCGTCGGACTTAAGCCGTGGATTATTGAGATGTTTTTATCAGCTATTTGGACTCTCATTCTGATGGCACCCATTCACTGCAGAGCAAGTGATGCAATGCTACATTTCTCCAAATCTGATGTAGAAACAAACTCATCTACATCTCGGATGGCCTGAGGTTGAGTAAATCTTCAGCAAAGTTTCATTTTGGGGTGAATTATTCCTTTAGTTCAGCACTACAACACTGGACGGGTTTCTTTTAATCATCAGTCTCTCCTCATTCAAATAGCGCAGGATATTATGAAGTTAAAATACCTGCAAAATATTTCCCATTTTTTGATCCATGGGGGACATTAATACAATGTTTAAAGATGGAATAGGTGTCTGTCTCTACACAGTATATTGTATACCATATAATTTGTGTGTGTGTGTGTGTGTGTGTGTGTGTGTGTGTGTGTGAGCGAATGCTTCTCGATTACATGTTTGAAACAAGGTCACATGGTTACGCATGGAAAGCTGTAATTAGTGAATGTTTCTCATTCACTCCGTAATTACAGAATAAGTGCTATGAAATGCTTGAGATTGTGGAATGAGAAAGACGCAGCATGTGGCCTTTACTGTATGTGTGTTGTTGTGTGCACACACACACATGATCCACACACACACACACGTTCCACACACACACTAAGGGGCCGTTCACATAAGACATGTTTTTCTGTTCTGAATGATCTTGAGATGCATTTTTAAGTTGAACTGTTTTGAAAGATGATGCATGTCATTTTTAATATGCAGAATCCATTATGTGTATCAAATATTTTTACTCTATTGCATTTGCACGCACAGCTAATCTGTCTGTCTCTCTGTCTATCTGTCTTTCAGGTGTGAAGTTCAGAGGAACCACTCAGTCCAGGCAGGTGAGAAGATGCAGATGTTCTTATTTTGTTTGTATTCTTCACTGCGGTGTTATTCAGAAACACATGTGACCGTTTTAAGCATCTTCTCCTGTCTTCTCTTCTCTCATGCCCTCATATTGTCCCGAGGGAAGGGCAGATTGCTGGGCTGTAACCTGGCTTCACTAATCAAATGAACCCTGACTTCATAACGAACAAATCACCTCGTTAATACTGGATTTATGATTATTCAATTCATTGACTTTATTGCACCTTAATGAATTCAAATGAGAAGTTAAATAGATTTTTGCCACAGGCGACATGTTTTTGGAAATCAGATGACGTCGAGAATTAAGCAAAAATCCTCATCAATTAGCGGATTAGAGATATTCAGAGTGAGTCACAGAGCACAGATGAGCTGTAATGAAACACATTCATCCGGCGGAGAACAGGAAGATCACACACGGGTGAATGGCTCCATCTGATGGCTACAGAATAGACTGATAGCTCAGCCAGACCAAGAGAACTATCTTTGGCCATTTAAATTAGTGGAATCAGCTGATAATGTGTATGTATACACATTACACACACACATATATAGACATTATTTATATATATTCCATTAAAATGCTTGCTTTTAGGATTTTATCCTAAAAAGCAAGCTTTTCTTTTTCTTTTTTATCCATCAGTTGATAATTTGCCCTTTCTTCTGATTAAAGGAATACAGTGTGTGTGTGTGTGTGTGTGTGTGTGTGTGTGTGTGTGTGTGTGTGTGTTTTCTATTTCTGCCATTATTTTCTATATAAATGTAGCTTGCATTTATGATTTTTATTTTGAATTTTAGTTTATTAGTAGTAGTAGCAGTAGTATTGTTATTAGTATTATTATTTATATATTTATTAAAGGCATCAACTGAAAATGTGTGAT